TTTACGCATAATAAGTCATTTAAAGGATGAAAAACGTTTCCTTACCAATAACATTGATAATTTATATGTTGATTTTATTAATTCCGAATATATGCCAAAGTTAATGGATAATTTAATTCAATGGGCTAGAGATACGGAAATTGCAAGTCATCTGGTTTTTAAGGAGCCAATTAATGTGGATAAATATTATGGTCCACCGGATTATGGAACACAGCAAGCCACCAATACACGTTGGCTAAGATCAGTGAAGGGGGGAAATGAGTCAAATACTTTGCAAAATTTCCGAAGCTTTGAGAAAATAAAATCTTATTTGAAAAATATTACAAAAGGTAATTTAAATTATATATTAATATATAAGTTAATGTTATCAAATTTTAATATCTGTTTTCAGACACAACTTATGCCTTGGATCATTTTGAAATAGCCCAAGCCTTCACTGCACATTCATCAAAAGTTATGCATTTGTATTTCAATGATTCTTCCCATGTTATCGATGTCTTAGCTTTATTGGATAAAAACACCCAAAAGATAGATTTTTATAAATGGCATTCTGATCGCATGCAATTTGTTCAAAGTTCAGGTAAGTCGAAAATTAAATATTAGAATTTATTAAAAACAAAAACATAAAAATATATATTATTAAATATATATAACAATCACTTCTAATATTCTTCAAAACGTGTGAACAAGTAAGGCTCTATCGGCATCTAAAACGCCCTTTATTTAAATGATACAATTGAAACTATTAACAATAACATATCTAGGATCAATCATGATTATCCATTCTACATTTATTATTAAAATTCCTGTGGATATAAACATCCACATTATTTTATTTAATATTGTAATAATTAATACCTTTCTCTATAGTCACTAAAAACTATTATTTAAACCTCTGATTGTTTTGTTTAAAAATCCACTATTAAAGTTGGCGTTTAAGGTTCTGGTAGTCCTTCACAAAGAGCGACATTTAAGGACACTTAAAAGAATGGGTTAAAAAAACACAAACAGACATGAGTGCATAAAATGCTAGGATTGATAGAATGCTGGAAAGCAGAATTATCAACTCATCCTTAAGAGAGATCGGTGAGTACACCACAGGCAGCATTGAATGCGACCTTGAATCTCCACCACTGGACATTCTGATTAAATTCCAGGCGGCCAGATGTGCCCTGAGGCTCCGAGAAACGGATACCTGGAAATCGCTGAACTATGGTCACGCTAGTATCCTCAACATAACGCCAGGTTGTGATTTCTTAAGGAGAAATACTCACATTAGTGACTATGTTCCCTCTCATAGAGGCTTTAATGACATCAAAGTCGAGTTTCCAAGTAGGGAATCCTGGACTAGTGGCTCCTTACCTCTGCCAGGTCTGTCAGTTTTCACAGACGGGTCAAAGATGGGGGAAGGCACTGGTGCAGGCGTTTACTGTAGGGAATTATAAATATACAACTCATATAAACTTAACAATCTTTGTAGCGTCATTGCAATCACGAAAGTGACCGAGATAGTAAAAACACTTACTGCCGACAATACGGGACCAATGACGGTCCCGGCGGCCCTCAATGCGTTGAAGTCGGGTACTACAAACTTAAAAGCAGTTCTTGTTTGCAAGTCCACTCTGAATGATACAGGACAGATAGTTAACTTATGTTGGGTTCCAGGACGTAATGACATAGATGGGAACGAGATAGTCCATGAGCTTGAAAACATGTGAGACCCACAGGACAAGCAATTATTTTTATCGAATCTATATATATATATATATATATATATATCTGTGCAACTACAAATTTAGGCCGATTTCAAACTTTTGTGCAACGCAAAATCAATAACATTTCTAAGTTTGTTTTAACGTTCTGATTTAGTTATTATATATATTTATTTTTTGTTAATGGTGCATCAAAATCTTCATGTTCGATTGACACCAAATTTTGCACATCGTTATAAAGTTAATATAGCCTAACATATGTTAAATTGACGAATATTGCGATTTGTAAAAAATTATTATTCAAATAATTTGTGCACAAAATAATGAACTAGTGGTTTGTGTACCAAAAAAACTGGTTATTAAGATTTAATTTTGAAAGCTCTCTTTGATTTAAATTGATTTACAAAATATTGACACTTTGCACAAAAATCTCCCCTAATGAAATGGAAATGTGAACCGTTATAGCTTGTCTTCGAATTTGAGCTTGAAAGGGTTTAGTAACTTGATGTTTGGAAACTTGAGGTTAAGTAACTTAAGAAATAATAAACATTTTTATTTTATTTACTTATTCCAATAAATGGAATGAACTTAAATATATATGGGAAATTACAAAATTCTTTTAAAAATCCAATAAAAAAATTTTGAAAAATTTTTTGCGAGCACATTTATGATTTTTGGTACATAGGTTAAGAAAAATATGCTGATTCGAAATCTGTTCGCGTGCACAAATTCGGATGCTGCGCACAAAAGTTATAGCGGTTTTAAATCTGTATTTCAAATATATATTAAATGGATTCCCGTTGTAATTCGAATTTCTTCACAAATGCCTAAACACCATTGTTTTCTTCGCATACTAGTCAAATCACACTGAAATACGGTTTAATAGTCGCGAAAAACAAATAGAAACATGAAGATATCGGAAAATAAAATAAATTAATTTTTGAATTAAATCAAACATTTTTTTTTGGATTTTCGATTTTTTTAGTATATAAGAGGATGTTTGCTTTATCTTCTTAAAAACTATTGAATATAAATATATAGTTTATTCTGAGACTTGAAGTGGATTTTGACGTAGAATATTTTATTTTGACATTATATACCTAAAATTAAGTTTCATGTTACTTTTATGCACTTTTCGAAAAAATACTGGGAAATGTCTTAGAAAAAAAAAATATAAGAACATTTTGAATTTTTGGTTCAAAATGTAAAACTATATATTTGTATATGTTTATATATACAGTTTTCTTTTTCAGTGACTTATGCTAAAAATTGATGGAGAATATTTTTGTCCTTTAAACTATCGTTCTAAAACGACATCTTGTGGGAAAAATAGGTAAAAACTAAATTACGATATTAACCCTAGAATGAGTTTTTGTTTTTTAAGATTTTTGACGTTTAGGCTGATTTTTGAGTTTTAGTCTATTCTGAGACTTATAGTAAAACTTTCTGAATATTTCTGTGTTACCTTTAACCCCGTTTTGAATAGTTTTCAATCACTCCTGGAAAAGGGGACCAAAAAGACCCCTTTAATGAGTCGGTTGAGCGTTAAAGTTGCATACCTAAATATTTCTCGATAATTTGCCGAAGACACTATATACCTAAAATGCAAGGATTTCAGGAAATCATAATAGCCGCGAAAAACAAATAGAAACATGAAGATATCTGAAAATAAAATAAATTAATTTTTGAATTAAATCAAACATTTTTTTTTGGATTTTCGATTTTTTTAGTATGGTTAAGAGGATACGGGTTTGTTTTATCTTCTTAAAAACTATTGAATATAAATATATAGTTTATTCTGAGACTTGAAGTGGATTTTGACGTATAACATTTTATTCTTTGACATTATATACCTAAAATTAAGTTTCATGTTACTTTTATGCACTTTGTCGAAAAAATACTGGGAAATGTCTTAGAAAAAAAAATATAAAAACATTTTGAATTATTGGTTCAAAATGTATGACTATATATTCGGTATATGCATTATATATACAGTTTTCTCTTGTTCAGTGACTTATGCTAAAAATTGATGGAGAATATTTTTGTCCTTTATACTATCCTTCTAAAACGACATCTTGTGGGAAAAATAGGTAAAAACTAGTAATAAGTACGATATTAACCCTAGAATGAGTTTTTGTTTTTTAAGATTTTTGACGTTTAGGCTGATTTTTGAGTTTTAGTCTATTCTGAGACTTATAGTAAAACTTTCTGGCGAATATTTCTGTAGAATATTCTGAGCAGCTTTAACCCCGTTTTGAATGAGTTTTCAATCACTCCTGGAAAAGGGGACCAAAAAGACCCCTTTAATGAGTCGGTTGAGGGTTAAAGTTGCATACCAAAATATTCCTCTATATTTTATCAGTAATATTGCCGAAGACACTATATACCTAAAATGCAAGGATTTCAGGAAATCATAATTCGAAAACTATCAAAATTCTTGAAAAGGGGGAATATTGCGTGAAAAAACAAACAAAAAATTCAGAAACTCCATATTTGGTCCAATACAGCTTAACAATTCCCATTTGATTCTTTGGAAAAGTGTTTAATTACTCAAAATACACTCTAAATTATTTTTGAAATTTTTATTACTTCACACTTCTTTTCAAGCTATTTTCTTGTAGTCTTAAAATATTCCCGATAAATTCCTTCCAAAAAATCCCAAGCAATAATGGCCTTCAACCTAACCATACGCAACAATATTTTCGTTGTTGTTGTTTTTTGTAGAAATACAAAATTCCTTTAAGCTACCCCTTGTGTGTGTCACATTTACTACCTAGTTCCCAGTAATGGCGTTTTGCAACATCATTTTCACCCCTAATTATTTGAAATTGTTGTTGTTTCGATAAACAAAGTGATTGCCCTTGGCTGGTTGTAGATGATGCTCATCAAGTAATTTTCCCGCTCTTTTTTGAATTTTAAATGTTTTGTGCATACATACAAAATGCCTTTTTAAATTGAATTTTTATTTTTTGTCATTATTTTTTATTTATATATTTTTTAAAAATGATTAGCTTATTAACTAAATATGAGTGGGATTATGTTTTCTCTTTTTTATGTGGAAATACTTTTAGCATAAGGCTAAGGTTGTCATACCTTCCTCTATATGTAACAGAACAGTTTTTTATTAGTAAAAATCGAATGAAAAATAAAATTAAAAAATGTAATAATTAAACCGAGAACAAGCACAGACAGACAATGGCATTAAACAAAATTTAAAAAATAATAAAAAATGTGACAATTCTTAACATACGTTTACTATTCTCTCAACTATTATAAAGACTTAAAACACACATCTACTGATCCAATTCATCACTTTGTACATCTAGAATGGCTCGTAATATGCCAACTTCTAGTTTTGCGGCTGAACGTGGACGCAAACGATTCATAACATTTGCCACATACAAACCCAATGCCTCATGACGTGAGGAATTGCATAGATTCTTAAAGAATGTTGGCGGCAGTGAGTTATCGAAATTACCCAAATTGATAATTTCCGAGGCATTTTGTACTTTGCCGGCAGGAATCGCGGAGCCACCACCATTGACCGCATTATTTGAATCGAATATGATATCATTACGAAAATCGATATCTTCAATGCGTGGTGAAAAACCATTTGTGGATGTGGTGGAAGCCACTGTGGCAGCGGTCGATGATGAGGGTCCTCCAGTTCCGGCATTTGTGTTGATAATGCCATTGACAAGATTGCCCGTAGGATTTGCCGGTATGGTAATGACATTAATGCCTGTTGGAGTTGCTCCAGAGTTCTGCTGACGCTGTTGTTGTTCTTGACATTCCTGTTTGAGCTGTAACAGCTGGGCAGTTGTGGTATGTTGTTGTTGCTGCTGTGCTTGTGGTGAAGATTTTGCAGAAGCCGATGAGGGAGAACCTTTATTTGACTGGGGTGTATGCTGTTGGTTTACTCTTTTATTTTGTGGTGTAGAGGGTTCTGTGGACAATTTACGTTTTAGTGACTCGGGTAATTGTATGGTTTTTCCAACTTCCAAACCATGCATGGCACCAGCATTGGCAGCTGTACGTCCTATAGAATGCAAAGAGAGAGAGAGAGAGGAATAAACGACAATTAATATTTTGCAATTTAATGAATGGCCTATCTTTCCTACCTTGTTGAGTTTTAATAATTGATCGTCCTTGCTGTTGGTTACCTTGTGAACCTATACTGGTCTTCTTCATGGTAATGCCTTTCTTTTGTAGAGCTGCCGCGGTCACCGAAGTGGGTGTTGTTGCAATATTTGGCTTGGCACTATTTACCGTGGCCATTGAATTTAACAACTTGGCGGCTCCACTGTTGGGTCTAATATTCTCTGACCCTGGAGAGGAGGAAGTAGTTGTGGGTGTGGTCTGTTGTTTTGGTGCATTTTTTAAATTAATTTGTGGTTTTTGTTCTTCTTGTTTGTCCGGTGATGTACCATAACTTTGACTTGATTTATTGGGACTTTCGGCCTCCGAACCAGATTCACCAGAATGTTGGCCATGTTGTTCACCACCACCATCTTCTTCTTCTTGTACCTCCAACATTTCATATTGTTCATCCTCTTCCATGGCGGCGGAAGATTCTCTATAAATACAACAACAATTACATTAAAATTTCAAATTGTGCCATTTTGCATTGTCCGACTTACTCTTCTTTAGCTGGCGACGGTTCCGGCTTGGCTTCTACTTTCTTATGTATTTTATCCATAACAGCAAATAGCTTCCAAGCCGATGTCTCTTTCAATTTCTCTTGGTCATATTTTTTCTGCAGTACCTTGAATATGGAACGCGATTCATGAACTAAATATAAAAAAAAACAAATCAGAAAAATCGAAAATAAAAAATTGTTTTTTTTTTTATTTGTTTACAACAGGACGACGCATGCATCGCCCGCTCTCTCTTCTTTCTTCGCTAAACTTTGCTTACCCGACAAATTACTATTTTTTCCCACTCTGGCCCAAGCATCATCAATTTCTTTTTTTGTGGCGCCCTGATAGTTTGGATGTAATACAACCTCATTGGCAATATCGGCCAAAATCTTGTCCAACTGTATAGGCATTTTGTCTGAGGAGTTGTTTGGGAAATAATTTGTATCTATGTTACAATTTCTGTTGATGTGGTGCCTCAACAATTTTATTCGGCCTGACTGACTTTAAAACTATATGCACTTTCCGCTTGCAAAAACTAAAATGTTCTGTTCGTTGGCGCAGTTCGATTTTTTGCTTTTCCCTTTCGTTGAAATTTCGCGTTACAGTGCTGACAACCTATGATTAATGATTACTTTGTCTTAGGGATATAGAAGTCGATCAATTTTCTGCGGAATCTTGAATATTTGAAAAGGAACCGGAGAAAAGTGCTGCCAAGTGATGGCCCAGCGCCATCTGTTGTTGATGCTCATGATCATTTATTAGGAGGTCAATTGCACATTTTAAAATTCGAACTTCCATACTCGAAGTCGCACTTCCATAAGTGGTTCGAAGTAGTAATTATTCTATAGAGGTTAAATAAATAAATGAAAAAAATATTCGTTAATAAATCCACGCCTTTTTGGGTTCTTGAAAAAATATTCTTTAATAAAACCACGACTTTTTGGGTCCCAAAAAAATCATTCTTTAATAAATCCACGACTTTTTGGTTGCTTAAAAATATTCTTAAAAAAATTCTCGCCTTATTGATCCTTAAAAATATTCTTGAATAAACCACGCCTTTATGGGTCCAAAGAAGCTATTATTATTAGGAGGAAGGTGAAAATAGTTTCGATGGCTAAATAAATTGGACAGGAAAAACATATTACGTGCTAAGGTTGCTCTTTCCTAACCACTTTAGATTACTAATGATGTAGATTAAAGCAGGTACCATAGTTGAGAAGAAGCTTAGAGACGATGGAAAGTGAGCACCCGCAAGTCTGTGCCGTCTGTAGGCCAGAACTGGACAGCGACACAGGAGATGCTCAAATGTCTCCATCTCCTCCTCGTCAACACAGAGTCTGCAGTAATCAGTAACATCATGGTCCCATTTACTGGTAAAGGCCCTGATATTGCAATTACCAGTAATGATTCCTGTCATTACTCTTATTTCAGCTCTACACAGGTTAAAAAGTGAGTGTGTCGCCTTGGTTGACAGAGTCGTCCAGATAGATCTTGACACATTGCACCTATGTTCGTTGTGCCAAAGTTCATAGACTCTTTCGTCGAAGAACGCCTCAAAGTTCCGAAAGAGATGACAGATGGGTGGTTTGATTGAGCAATCGATTGCTGGATCTGTAGATTGAGATCCTCGTCTAGCTAATTCGTCTGCTTTTTCATTAGCCATGATGTCACGGTGTCCTGGTATCCAAGTGGTAGCTGTAAGTGAGTGTTTCCAAAACTGCTCTACACTCGATGACGACATCAGATTTGATATTACAGGATTTGATGGTTTTAAGAGCCGCCAGACTATCCACAAAGACAGTCACCGGTTCAACGATCTCTGCATCCAGACTTTTTATCAATTCCGCTGCCTTCCAAATAGCGAAGATTTCAGCTTGGAAAACACTACAGCTTGTAGGTAAGCTCAAGGCCGAGACGCCAACCCCTGTATCTTCTTCCATCTTGAATCCGTCTATATAGAAAGCCAGACCGTCCAGAAGAGGGTCTACTAGGAATAACGACATCGACATCTGTCAAATCTAAGGATTGGTGATATATAGTCGCTTTCTTAAACCCTTTCTACAACCACTGAATCCAATTATAACCTCTTTACCATATAAACAGATCTCAAAGATCAATTATCTAGAACCAATGTAAGGTTATAAATTGGGATACTATTTTATTTATTTTGTATTGTATTTTATATATTAAATAAACATATTTACTATTTTTTTCAGATTTCGAGTGGCTACCACAAAATCCAATTTTATTGAATATCATTCAGAAAATGACCAGTCATGCCAATATGCCGCTTGATTTGGCCAAAATGAAAGATTTTATAACAAATATTAAAACAAATATTGCCAATACAAATTTGGAAATGGAATTTTGGAATGAAACGTGTTTATTTATATATCCATCGGCTCAAAATTCACCCGCGTTTAAAATTAGCTGCGTAGATTTTAACAAAAACATGATGAGCTCGGAGATTGTGGCCAAAACTTCGAATAATATACGACAGGTTGGGTATAAAAACAAGTATATCTTTAAAATTATCTAATTTTTTGTATCTATCTTTTAGATATTAAATATTGGTTACAATTCCATAGCGCTAATAACAAATAACTCTCTGGAGATTTGGACTATGGAATTGGGAAAAATGAGACTGACCCAAAAGTTATTGATAAATCATGCCAAACAATTGTCAATTGGCTATTTTCAGGGCAGGCGTTATTTGGCAATAGTGGCTCATGCCACACCCACATCGTTAAATAATGGTTTTATTGAAATATATAGGTAATTAAATTTAACGTTGAAAAATATAAATTAAAAAATTTTATATTTTCTGAATTTCTTTGTATTTCAGATCTATTAATGGTGCCTCATTTAAACTTTGGCAAACCCTATTGTGTCCCCATGCCATTAAAATTGAATATGCCCATGTCACAGCAAGTCATGACTTTATGCTGTATTCCATTACAGATTCTTTAGAGAAATCTCTTATAGTCTATCAGTATCAGGGTAATATTTTGGGTTTTCAAGAAATACTCACCGATACTATTCTACCCAAACACATAAAAGATATTAGTCTGCTAAATTTAAAATCCACACATCAATATATGATGGCTATTGTTTATGTAGATAAATTAATTATTGTTAAAACTGTTTTAAGTAAAATGTAAATATGTATATACTATATTATTTTATATTTATTATATAATATGTAAATATATATTATTCTTAATTTAATAATAATATATAAAAAGGTGGATATTTCTAAAAAATTTGGAAAGTTTTCAGTCTTTTAATTCCCGAAAACCAGCACTCTGAGACCGACAGGTCCATTGTGATCATCCACGAAAAGAAAAAGATATGGAGAGATCTATGGGGGAGAAAGGAAGGGGGATAGAAGCTTACAAGGAAGTGTGAGAAGGTAACTATGAGATAGTATCGATGACTATAGAGATCGGACAGAAGATATCTTACGTGTCAAGGTTGCACTTTCCCAACCACTTTAGGTTTCTAATTATGCTGTAGATTAGAGCAGGTTCCGTTGTTGAGAAGAAACTAAGACTCGGTGGAAAATGAGCACCCACTAGTCTGTGCCGTCTGTAAGCCAGGACTGGACAGTGATACAGGAGATGCTCAATTGTCTCCGTCTAATCCTCGTCAACGCAGAGTCTACAGTAATCATTTGCATCGTGGTCCAATTAACTGGTAAAGGCCTGATAATGCAATGACCAGTAATGATTCCTGTCATTACTCTTATTTCAGCTTTACCCAGGTTCAACAGTGAGTATGTCCTTTTGATAGACAGAGTCAGCCAAATAGATCTTGACACATTGCACCTAGGTTCGTTGTGCCAAAGTTCATAGGCTCTTCGAAGAACGCCACAAAGTTCCGATAATGATGATATATGGATGGTTTGATTAAGCCATCAACTGCTAGATCTGTTGATTGAGATCCTAGTCTAGCTAATTCGTCTGCTCTTTTATTACCCATGATGTCACGGTGTCCTGGTACCCAACACAGCCGATAACTGTAAGTAAGTTCTTCCAAAACTATTCTACACTTGAGGACGGCCTCAGATTTGATAGCTTTAAGAGCCGCTTGACAATCCACGAAGATGGTCACCGGTTCAACGTTCTCTGCATCCAGAATTTTTATCAATTCCGTTGCCAGTTGCAATCCAGCTTGTAGCCTTTCACAGCTCCTACCAGACAGCCCCTGTACCTTCTTCCATCTTGGATCCGTCTGTGTAGAAAGCCAGACCTTCCAGAGGAGGGTTACTCCCGTTCCAATCGTCTCTACTAGGAATAACGACATCTACACCATCAAATCTCAGGACTGGTGATATATAGTCGCTTAGTTTTACGCGTTGGTCCAATGGCATACCTGGTTCGTTCAAGATACAAACATGTCTACAGGCTAAATTCGCTAATTTCATTCCCGCACCTATCTATTAACTCTCCCATCGACATATACAACATAGTGTTTTGTTTAATCAAAACCATGTTCACTCAATCAATTTTTATTTAATTTTTACTAAATCATAAAAAGTCGTACGCTTCTTTAATACAGTTCTGTTTAAATACAACTGTACCATTGGTCCCGCCAAATGCCACCGAGTATGGAAATGTTTCCATACCAACACAGGCAGCAGCAAAATTACCCAAACGTGTACCCACCACCAAACCACCACTAAAACTCGGATATACTCTAGCAATGCGTCGCATACTTTGCGCGGCAGCTTCCTCCGGTGATAGCCCACCACGCATTAATTCCACAGCCAAAAAGGAAGGTAAAAACCGCATCATAACATCGCCATCACCTGTGGCCACAGCGGCACCCACCTCATTGTCAGCATATGCACCAGCACCCGGTATAGGAGAATCACCCACACGACCTGGTATTTTATATGTAGCACCATTTGTAGATGTGCCAGCAAATACATGACCCTCTTTATCGATGACAATCATGCCAATTGTATCATGATTAAAACGATCTACTTTATAGGAATAATACCCCTCCTCATTGTGTGAATGTGCTTCACCATTCGGCCTATAAGGTCCACATTGTTTTCTAGAATCCGGCACAACATTGACCCAAAAATTTGGTTGACATGCATTTGCCAACCATTTCTGGTGCATAGCTTTCGATTTTTCGGTGGCCAAAGATTCACGTTTCATACCCATCATTACAGCGAAATTTGTTGCAGCCTCTCCAACCAATAACGAATGTTTGGTGTTTTCCAATACCAAACGTGCCACCTTAGCTGCTGTTTTTATTTCTTTCATCCCGGCCACAGCACCCATATTCATATTGGAGCCATCCATTATCATGGCATCCAGGGTGGTTTCACCATTTTCATCAGGACTACCACCATAACCCACCGAACCATCACATTGTAGATCTTCACAGGTTGTACAGCCTTCAACCAAACTATCTAGGGCACTTCCGCCGGCTTGCAAAGTATTCCAAGCTGCTTCGTTTGCTTCCTTAAAATCCCAAGTACTTATGACCAGAGGAAGACTACCGGTTTGTGTTGTTGTGTGTGAATGTATTCCCACTACAATTCCTATTGTAGTTAGTTGGATTAAAATCGGAATCAGGTTTTTCATTCTCAGTCAATTTGAGTTTTTCTTATTTTTTTAAATGAAATCTGATAATAGAACTTATCGCTGTTCCCTATTTATACTGACCATTGGGAACAAGGAACTTATCAAAGCAATAAAATAATTTTTGATTTTGACAGACTTTGTGTATTGCGCCCTCTATTGTTTGTTATCGTAAACCGAACATTAGAGTTTGCCATAGAGAATTGTTTTGGGGACTATATACGTATTTTGGAAGGATTTTTTCTGTTAACGAGATTAAAAATAATGTTGGAAACCCATATCTCCAGAAGAATAATTCAGTATTGAACAAGTAAAAACGTCGTAAAGTTCGGCTCTTCGTGGTCCATACACAATAAAGGGAGCGAAATAATTCCGTTGCGAATTTCCAAAATAAGTCTGTATATATGTTAGCGATATCTACATCTGTACCGATTTTCACCATTGGGCCAAATTTCATCCCATTCCGAAAGTAATGGGATGAAATACCTATCAAATTGATACGTATCAAAAATTCGAATTGATACGTATCATAGCCTTATAGTACGTTTACATTTAACCGGATTTCGTTAACCCAGTCGGTTTCAATTGTCAATTCCTTTGCATATATGTCAAATAAATCCTCAAATGTAGGTTAACCCGGTTAAAGTTATAATGTATATGCCGTTTTAACTTATATGCGTAGTTTTGTAATTTGCCCTCTGCTGGTAATAGGAGCATAAAATACTACCTCACAGTAAATGTTTTATATAGACCACTTGAGTACTGTCTAATTTTAAGTATTTTGAAGTTCATAACACTTAAGGGTTAGATTAGGTTTGGAGATGTGTTGTCACTTATGTGGCTACAGCACCCTGAGACCGTCAGGTCCATTGTGATCATCCACGAAAAGAAAAAGATATGGAGAGATCTATGGGGGAGAAAAAAGGAGGGATAGAGAGAGATGCGAAGCTTACAAGGAAGTGTGAAAAGGTAAATATGTGATAATATCGATGGCTATAGAGATCGGACAGAAGATATATTACGTGTTAAGGTTGCACATTTCCCAACCACTTCACGTTTCTAATTATGCTGTAGATTAAGCAGGTTCCATTGTTGAGAAGAAACTAAGTCTCGGTGGAGAATGAGCACCCGCTAGTATGTGCCGTCTGTAGGCCAGAACTGGACAGTAACACAGGAGATGCTCATTTCTTCTCCGTCTCCTCCTTGTCAGGAAAGAGTCTCCAGTAATCAGTAACATCATGGTCCCATTTACTGGTAAAGGCCCTGATATTGCAATGACCAGTAATAATTCCTGTCATAGTTCAAAGTTCATAGGCTCTTTCGTCGAAGAACGCATCAAAGTTCCGAAAGAGATGACAGATGGGTAGTTTGATTGAGCAATCGATTGCTAGATCTGTAGATTGAGATCCTCGTCTAGCTAATTCGTCTGCTCTTTCATTACCCATGATGTCACGGTGTCATGGTACCCTACACAGCCGATAGATTTAAGTAAGTTCTTCCAAAGCTGTTCTACACTTGAAGACGACATCAGATTTGATGTTGCAGGATTTGATGATTTTAAGAGCCGCTTGGCTATCCACAAAGATAGTCACCGGTTCAACGATTTCTGTATCCAAACTTTTTTATAAATTCCGCTGCCTTCCAAATCGCGAAGATTTCGGGTTGGAAAATACTACAGTTGCTATCCAGTTGGTAGGTAAGCTCAAAGCCTAGATTTTCAGAGTAGACGCCTGTCCCCCTACCTTCTTCCATCTTGGATCCTTCTGTATAGAAAGCCAGACCGTCCAGTGGAGGGTTGTTACGTTCCAGTCGTCTCTACGAGGCGCTAATGTTCACAAGCGAGATCTCTCCCTAACGAATATCCAGTATAAGGCTGATAATTTATGGGGACTCTCATAGATATTTTAAGGGTCGCAGCGATATTTGGAGGTTCATATTTTGGGTAGATCCATACCCGATTTAAAATAGAACTTAATAGCCGCATTTTCCAAACTTCCAAAAAGGACTTATTAGTGTCGCCATGTTCACATAGTTATTCAGAGATGAGGGAGGCCCTAAACTCAGCATAACCCGACTTCATTATCGAGGAAAAACGGCCTCATTATTCATGATCGGATTGAATTTGAAATCCTTTTTAATTTAATAAAATAAAAATCGCAGAAAATATTCAATAAAAGGCAATTTTTAAAAATTTTCCGCCACATTTGTCTTTTGTGCATTTACTCGCCGAGGTGACTTTTGTTTGGTGAATATATCAAATTGTTATCAAGTTACACTTTTATGAATCTACGTCCTTTTAGAAGACTGTATAAATTCAAAGATCTGATATTTGCCTCCTCATATTTATACCCTTCACCACACTGTGGTACAGGGTATTATGTCTTTGTGCATATGTTTGTAACAGGCAAAAGGAAACGAGATAGGCACATGGTTCCTTTTGAGAATATGCATAGAATCACTTTCTGAGTCGATTTACGCATGTCCGTCTGTCCGTCCGTCTGTCCGTCCGTCCGTCCGTCTGTCCGTCCATGTATTTTTGTGAACAAAGTACAGGTCGCATTTTTGATCCGATTTGGATGAAATTTGGCATAGGTCACTTATTTGGCCCAAGGACGAACCCTATTGAAATTGGGAAAAATCGGTTCAGATTTAGATATAGCTCCCATATATATTTTCACCCGATATAGGCACCAAAGTACCTATATATCATTCGATTTGCACGAAATTTGGCATAGCGTACTGAATGAGGTCCAAAATGATGTGTGCTGAGTTTCGTGAAAATCGGGTCAGATTTAGATATAGCTCCCATATATATTTTCGCCCGATATAGGCACCAAAGTACCTATATATCATTCGATTTGCACGAAATTTGGCATAGTGTACTGAATTAGGTCCATAATGGTGTGTGCTGAGTTTCGTGAAAATCGGTTCAGATTTAGATATAGCTCCCATATATATTTTCGTCCGATTTAAGGTAAACGTGGCACCAAAGTACCTATATATCTTTCGATTTCCACGAAATTTGGCATAGCGTACTGAATTAGGTATAGAATGATGTGTGTTAAGTTTCCTGAAAATCGGTTCAGATTTAGATATAGCTCCCATATATATTTTCGTCCGATTTAATTTAAATGGTGCACCAAAGTCCCTATATATCTTTCGATTTGCACGAAAGTTGGCACATCGTAATCAATTAGGAATATAATGGTGTGTGTTAAGTTTCCTGAAAATCGGTCCAGATTTAGATATAGCTCCCATATATATTTTCATCCGATTTAATCTGAATGGTGCACCAATGTCCCTATACATCTTTCGATTTGCACCAAAGTTGGCACAGCGTAATGAATTAGTTATAGAATGGTGTGTGTTAAGTTTCCTGAAAATCGGTTCAGATTTAGATATAGCTCCTATATATATTTTCGTCCGATTTAATGTAAATGGTCTACCAAAGTTCCTATATATCTTTCGATTTGCACGAAATTTGGCACTGCGTTATGGATGAGGTCTGGAATGATGTGTGTTAAGTTTCCTGAAATCGTTGAAATCGGTTCAGATTTAGATATAGCTTCTATTTCATCTGTTGAATATGCTCAAAGTGGTGAAGGGCCCCGTCCGACTTTACTACTTTCCTTACTGGTTCTATTTTTTCTATTTATACCCTTCACCACACTGTGGTACAGGGTATTATGTCTTTGTGCATATGTTTGTAACAGGCAAAAGGAAACGAGATAGGCACATGGTTCCTTTTGAGAATATGCATAGAATCACTTTCTGAGTCGATTTACGCATGTCCGTCTGTCCGTCCGTCTGTCCGTCCGTCCGTCCGTCTGTCCGTCCATGTATTTTTGTGAACAAAGTACAGGTCGCATTTTTGATCCGATTTGGATGAAATTTGGCATAGGTCACTTATTTGGCCCAAGGACGAACCCTATTGAAATTGGGAAAAATCGGTTCAGATTTAGATATAGCTCCCATATATATTTTCACCCGATATAGGCACCAAAGTACCTATATATCATTCGATTTGCACGAAATTTGGCATAGCGTACTGAATGAGGTCCAAAATGATGTGTGCTGAGTTTCGTGAAAATCGGGTCAGATTTAGATATAGCTCCCATATATATTTTCGCCCGATATAGGCACCAAAGTACCTATATATCATTCGATTTGCACGAAATTTGGCATAGTGTACTGAATTAGGTCCATAATGGTGTGTGCTGAGTTTCGTGAAAATCGGTTCAGATTTAGATATAGCTCCCATATATATTTTCGTCCGATTTAAGGTAAACGTGGCACCAAAGTACCTATATATCTTTCGATTTCCACGAAATTTGGCATAGCGTACTGAATTAGGTATAGAATGATGTGTGTTAAGTTTCCTGAAAATCGGTTCAGATTTAGATATAGCTCCCATATATATTTTCGTCCGATTTAATTTAAATGGTGCACCAAAGTCCCTATATATCTTTCGATTTGCACGAAAGTTGGCACATCGTAATCAATTAGGAATATAATGGTGTGTGTTAAGTTTCCTGAAAATCGGTCCAGATTTAGATATAGCTCCCATATATATTTTCATCCGATTTAATCTGAATGGTGCACCAATGTCCCTATATATCTTTCGATTTGCACCAAAGTTGGCACAGCGTAATGAATTAGTTATAGAATGGTGTGTGTTAAGTTTCCTGAAAATCGGTTCAGATTTAGATATAGCTCCTATATATATTTTCGTCCGATTTAATGTAAATGGTCTACCAAAGTCCCTATATATCTTTCGATTTGCACGAAATTTGGCACTGCGTTATGGATGAGGTCTGGAATGATGTGTGTTAAGTTTCCTGAAATCGTTGAAATCGGTTCAGATTTAGATATAGCTTCTATTTCATCTGTTGAATATGCTCAAAGTGGTGAAGGGTATCATATAGTCGGCCCCGTCCGACTTTACTACTTTCCTTACTGGTTTGGATTAATTTTGTGAAATTCCATGCCAGTGCTTTCCCCTTGTAGCAGTAATTCATAATAGTAGGCCCTTTTCTTTTTTTAATTACAACTTTTCTCGTCCACCAAATAAATATAAAATCCTTTTTTTCTTTCTTTGTTTTAAAAAAATAAAAACTTTTTTCTTTTTTATTTTAAACGGTAGAATTTTTATATTTTCTGTTATCTTTGATTCACCATATAAAATAAATGTACTTTCATTTTTTCTTGTTTAAATCTAAGCCCGCGTTTTAAAACAAACAAATATCAAATCCTGACCAAACCGGTAAACAAGGAAAAACATATTCCCTTAACTGGAAATACATTATCCCTGGGGAATGCAGGATTGTCTATCTAATGGCGATTAGGGTTTAATCGTCATTGGATTCAACGTTTTCGGTTTGCAAGTTCTTGAAAGTGGGGACGGGGACATAGGTGACCAAGGTGTACAATTTGTTGGGAGAGTCCTCATCGTCGTTACGGCGGCGAGCCAAACGTACACGTACGCGGAAAGGAGTAGATCTGTAAATAGAAAAAAATATTGTTTACATTCCACACACACAAACACATACTAAACAAATCATCAACATTTGCCCAAGTAAACAAATGTTATGTTCGACCGACAACTCACCTGATACCCTTGGACCAGATATGTTTGTTCAAACGGGTATCGATTCTGACATCAGTGGTGCCCATTTCCTTTTCGGCAAATTTGCGGATTTCCTTGATGGCACGAGGAGCACGCTTCTTGAAGCCAATGTTGTGCACACGCTTGGACATGTGAATGGTGCACTCGCGGGTCACCACTTCATTGATGGCGGATTTGTTGCGTTTTTCACCCTTAGCTTTAACCATTTTGTTGAAGAAGATGCTTATCTGCTATTCCAAGTCCTGTAGAAACGAAACGAAAATAACAATCAATTATTAGCACTTGTTTTCCAAACTTCGAATTCAGGATTTATTTAAATATTTTTAGGCACTTGGCCGACTGCACCAGACACAATCTATAGTCATTTTAATTATCCTATTTTATATTTTTAAAGCAATTTCTCACTGAGACATATGGGAATTTTCTTTGGAATTATTTGCCACAACACTCATTTGACAGTCGACACAATTCATTTTTATTTAAATTAAAGGATTTTTTAGATGTTTTTGGATTTATTTTAGAAAAAATTCACAAAAACCAACCTATCGGAAATGAAAGCCTGACGTAAAAGAAAGGCAAAAACGTCAAATTCGGAAACGTCATTGCCAAATGTCAATATACACCAAAATCAAAACAATGCTGATTAAATGGTTATGCTATACGTTCTACGTGTAGATGGCGCCACTGCACGGTGTGTGAAATTCTTTTGACGTATGACGTAAAGCTTCGGCGTAGAAAATATATATTTTGAAAGAAAAATATGTAATTTTATATAAAGAATTTAAATATTTTAAATATACTAAAATTTAATTTAAAAAAAAATACCCAAAAATAAAATCGTTAATTTCAGACCCTATACTAAGGTGACCATACGTCCTCTCTTTTAGAGGGCCATCATCAATTTTGACTGGCTATCATCTATAAAATTTATGTCCTCTATCTGTCATCTTTTCTTCTATTTTTTTAAAACCTTGATTAATATTTGTTTTTGTAAATTATTTCAAATTTAGAAAAGGTATTTTCGTATTTTCAGGATTTTTATAGTACGAGTGGGTTTCAATTGCCAATTCCTTTGTATATATGTCAAATAAATCATCATAAAGTAGGTTAACCCTGTAAAAAGTTCTAATGTATATGCCCTTTGAGACACATTTTTCAACCGAATTTTCTGTTATTTTATATTTTGAGTATTAATTGGGTAACAAATTTCCATAATTTCATATCTTTAGGGCTCCTTTAAATTTTTAAAATTTTGGTCTTAATTTGATATTTTGGATTCTCATTAGGTGAAATATCCCCATACTAAAATTTTTGATATCGACTCATTTTTAGGTATCCATTTCGTGATTTCCAAACTATGGGACTGGAATTTGTATCTCTCAAACTATGTTGTTGAAGGTAATGTCACACTAGGCAAATATTTGACGAAGAGTATCAAATATTCATTTGTCATAATCTAACCACAACACATTTTCAAGGGCAAACACAAAAACAGCTGATTTGGGAAAAGAAAACATGGTTGAATCTTGAGAGCAACGTTCAGCTTTAGAGAATAAATTTTGTTTAATTTATTGAAAATGTGTCAATCGACATACATACAATCTTATGAAATTTATTTTTCATTTTATTTAAAAATGTTATATGAATTTCATATTAAAAAGGGATGCCATTATCAATTTCTCAAATGAGACTACCTTGCATAATTATGCCATGCATAGCCCCATATATTTAGGACACACTAACGGTACTTGAGTTCTTGAAGGCTGCAACACATTTTTTAGCAGTAGAATTTCGATATAAGTTAATATTTGCATAGTTTCCATCATGGCTGACATTTTTCAGCGATTTTTCTTGTAACTTTTATATTTCGAAGATGGAGATCCTATGGACGATTCAATGTACGATGTTTATAGAGTTCTAGCCATAATCATACCTTTTCCTTAATTTTTCGCGTTTTTAGTTATGTCTTGGAAAAAAGTCAAATAAACACAACCACTTGTTGTGTATATTTATTGTATATTTTGGCAGAAGAAGCCACCATGTACATAATTGCTGTTTTGTTATTCAACTCAAGCTGCCCTACCTTGTATTATTGTACCATGATTGCAACCATGTTATGTTTCCGGAGGAAATATTTACGCCATACGATAACATTTTTGTCTTTTATATACAAAAGTATTGATTCATTTGGCCCTCTAAATATTGACCGATTATTTTTAAAATAGTCATTTAAATAGTTCGCCAGATAACGTTCCCTGTTAAATTTTGCGATGTTCGGCTTACAATAACGTTTTCGTCCATTCAATCCCCTAAATATCATATGATCATTACCGAAATTTGTAGGTGTCGTCATGGAACTTCATGAACTTCCTGTAAAATTTCATACCATTTCATTTACCGTCTAGTATGGTAACCAAATCAAAATACGTAGACGCCTGTAATTATTTTAAAGTACATTTACATATACGATTTTAAATCGACTCGAATAACGAAATCCAGAAATACACTCTATTTATATGCACATTGGTCTGTTCTCGAACTGCAAGAATCTACTAATTTTTTCTATTTCTTCCATATCATAAAGGAAAATTCGTTATCGTAGTAAAAAGTAGTAGATTCATGCAGTACGGGAACAGGCCTATACTTTTAATCATGATCGAAATGTTAATCATCTGATATTTGCGCCAAAAATATTTGAAAATTAATAGAAAAATTACAACATTGGAGTTATTTTTCCAATTATATAAATAATTTTTATTTTGCTTTGATATTTCATTTTTGCATTTGAAACTCGTGATGAAACGGCGTTGCCCGTTGCTGTACTTTTATACTATCTGCACGATTTTAAGGTTTCAATTTTTTATTCACTTTACTATTTAAAACAATACGGGAACAAAGCAATAAAAAAGTGTTGCATTTGTTGTTCGTTTTTTTAATACAGAATACGGCACAGAAATATAAAAAGGTATTTAAATTTAAACGAGTTTAAATAGAGTATCATTTATTGGATTTTTATCCCTTTATTATAATAATAAAGTATTATATTCAAAAAAATATATTTTAAAAATTTTCTATTCTATTTAAATACAACATTCAAATATCCAAACGTCATACGCTATGCATTACAATAAATCTCTTTCATCCATCATTCACAATAGCAAACACGTGCTTCTGATGAAAAATGCAACCCTGTAATTTGTGTAGTGTTTAATTACAAATTTCTTTCTAACCTCTTCATTTCCTAAAGTCTGGACGTGCTGATAGGTCGCTCCAGACGGTAAAGAAATTTAATTTTTTAAAACAAATTTTGAAATAAAACGTGATTATTTTCTATAAGAAAACATAATGGCTGACGTAGGCAAGTTTATTAAACAAATTTAAATAAAACAAAATAATCTGCCATTTAATTTTCATTCAAAAAATTGGATAAAACATGTGAAGAATGAACGCGTGTGTGTGTGCAAGCAATATTAATGGTGACCACGTTTTTTTTGAAATTCTTTCCATTTTAGAAATTAAAAAAGAGAAGAAAAAGAAGAAGATCAAGGAAGAACCAGTTGATTTAGATGATATTGGCACATTGCAAAAAACTGGTAGCTTTACCGTTAAGCCTTCCGAGAAATCGGCCACATTGGACACATCACAATGGCCATTGTTGTTGAAGAATTTCGATAAATTGAATGTGCGTACCAATCATTATACACCATTGCCAAGTGGTTCATCACCATTGAATCGTGATATCAAGGAGTATATGAAGTCTGGGTTCATCAATTTGGATAAACCTTCAAATCCCAGTTCACATGAAGTTGTGGCATGGATTAAAAAAATTTTGAAAGTTGAAAAGACTGGTCATTCCGGTACATTGGATCCTAAAGTAACTGGTAAGTTGGCGGGATATATAATTTAGGAGGACCCCATGATATAAGCCGGCGTTGTGAATATATTTCTAGTTTACAACGTGACTATGATTGGGAAAATGAAGCCTGCTCTGATGTGTGTATGTTGTATAGTGAATATTTATCTCACACTTGCAAACAAAGTAAATTTCAGAGTACAATAACAACAACAACAACTGTGAACAAACACATTTTTACCATGTGTGTTTTTTTTTTTTTTTTTTGAAGTGTTGACACTAATCATTTTGTTTTTTTTTCTCGTTATTTCCAGGTTGTTTGATTGTTTGCATTGATCGTGCAACACGTTTGGTCAAGTCCCAACAAAGTGCTGGTAAAGAATACGTTGCCATTTTCAAATTGCATTCAAGTGTTGAATCGGTGGCCAAAGTACGTCAAGGGTTGGAAAAATTGCGTGGTGCCCTATTCCAACGTCCTCCATTGATATCGGCTGTTAAACGTCAATTGCGTGTTCGTACCGTTTACGACAGTAAACTTTTAGATTACGATGAATCGCGTAATATGGGTAAGTTTACATTTTAGATTTTTATTTTTGCATTTATTTTTGAAAACAAAAATGCATTTCAGTGAAAATTGTTGTTGCTTATGCTTTTTTTAATACCATGGGCTTGGCAACCTTTTTTCGGGGAGTTTTAATACATCTTAAAAAGATGCTTTGAACTCAGAAATGCCACATTAATTTGAACCATTTGTTTAGTGCCCTAGAGGTGCCAACATATGTACATGTTATTTAGTTACAATTTTCTAAACAAAAATATTTTCTATTTTATTTTCAATTCCATGGCCTAAAATCATATATGGGCCTATATTTGACATTTTTACTTGCCTCATCCATGAATATTGAACATTTGAAGGTGTTTTTTGGGTTAGTTGTGAGGCTGGTTCTTATATCCGTACCATGTGTGTACATCTTGGTTTGGTACTCGGTGTTGGTGGTCAAATGTTGGAATTGCGTCGTGTACGCTCCGGTATACAATCGGAACGTGATGGTATGGTGACAATGCACGATGTTTTGGATGCCATGTATTTGTATGAAAATCACAAAGATGAATCAATGTTGAGACGTGTCATTAAGCCATTGGAAGGCCTATTGGTCAACCACAAGAGAGTCATCATGAAGGACAGTTCGGTAAGTAAAGAAAATTGCCAATTATTTTTTTTCTTAAAGTTTTGGTTGGGACCCCATGATATAAGCCGGCGGTGTGAATATATTTCGAGTTCACAACGTGACTATGATTGGGAAAATGAAGCCTGCTCTGATGTGTGTATGTTGTATAGTGAATTTTTTTCTCCCACTTGCAAACAAAGTAAATTTCAGAGTACAAATTAAATAATTACAATTATTATACCTTTAGAAGAGAGCATTAAGTGAGCCATTATGAGAAATTAAACAAATGTAAATCTTAAAAATATACATAATCGAGCTTTATATCCTCCATGAAGAGCATGAAGTACGCATTTAAATTTGTCTTTCCGTTTACAACACCTCCAAATATTTCCCCCTAGGGGAGCACATTCCGATTGACGATTTAGTCATGTCTTTAGTCTAACTGTTGAAAACAACATTTTGAAGCAAATCTGATTCAAATGATACTAGGCCCTAAATTAAATAAACAAAATTTGGTACTTTGGGGATTTTAGAAAGCTTTTTGAACGTTTTCGTTTAATTTGATATTTTAGGTTCTAATTAGTGTCCTCAAATCTATTTTAAATATAGTGTAGGGTACAAAAATTAGAATATTTTTTTTCAAGGCCATGATATATAAGCCTTTCCAAAAGAAAAACTTGTACACGTTGAAAATTATATATTAATTATAAATATTCGCTTCTGCCCTCTCTTTCCAGGTAAATGCCATTTGCTATGGTGCCAAAATTATGTTAACTGGTGTCTTACGCTATGAAGATGGCATTGAAATCGATCAGGAAATTGTCATCTGTACCACCAAGGGTGAAGCTATCTGTTTGGCTATTGCTCAAATGACCACAGCCACTATGGCATCATGTGATCATGGTGTTATTGCCAAAATCAAGCGTGTCATTATGGAAAGAGATACATATCCACGTAAATGGGGTTTGGGTCCCAAGGCTTCAGCCAAAAAAGCATTAATTGCTGCTGGCAAACTAGATAAATATGGCCGTCCTAATGAAAACACTCCCAAAGAGTGGTTGACTGGTTTTGTTGATTATAACTCCAAGAAACCAGCTGCCGCTGTGGCACCCCAAGCCACAAATGGTAGCCCCTCAAATGAAGAAGAGGAAAGCAAAAAAGTAAGTTGTGTTAAATAAAATTATTTAATTTTTATTTTATAATTAATGTTAATGATTTTCCTTCCCTATAGCGTAAATTAAGTACCTCCAGTGATACAGTGCCTGTTGAAGCCTCGCAGGAATCGGAAAAATCCGAAAAGAAAAAGAAGAAGAAACACAAGGCTGACAAGGAGACACCCGATGTTTCTTTAATAGCCGAAGAAGCTGAGGATGAACCTGCCGCCGTTGAGGGTGAAAAGAAGGAGAAGAAAAAGAAGAAGAAGAAGGACAAAGATAGGGAGAAGGCTGATGAATAAACATGATGTAAAAAATGGGCCACATACATAAATTTCTTTTTGTTACATAATTTAATGAAACTCTAGTTTTATAAGAGTTGCAAAAAATAGTAGTTTTATGTTTGTTACCCCGCCCCTCTTTTTTTACACACATAAGCAATGCATTTTTTTACAACTTATTGATGTTAAGTTTATATAGTGTTGTATATGAAAAAAGCGAAAAGTTTTACAAAAAATGATAATAGTGTTAAATAATAGGTCTTTTGTCAGCCAATCTTATTTTTAGATTTTAAGTCTTCTTCTGATTTTCTAAACTCCCTATCAAACTTACAAGGGAGAAGAAAAAAACCAGAGTTCAAACTATTAGTTTTTAATAACCCCCACAATATTTTTATAATACATGTGAATTTTGTATTACAAAGAAAAACAAATTAAAAACAAACTATTTTTCTATTAAGAAAAACAAAATAGAAATTTTAAAAATGGGAGTTTTTTTAATTAGGAATTTTTTTGAAAGGGGATTTCAGTTATGAGCTTTTTTGAAAGGATTTTCTTCAATCATTTCAAATAAGGTAAATAAATTGATTTTTTTTAATAATTGAAAATTTTTAATTAACATTTTTTTTATTTTTTGTTTTCAGTTAAAACTTAATGAGTGGGAAAATATTCTGAGCTATCTTTCTTTTTTGCAAAGGTAAGTTATTTTTATATAAATATATATTATATATTTTTATATATTAATAAACAATTGATTTTAATATGATGACAAATTATCTTTCGCCCCTAACTGAAAGTTTTTGGAAACTTCTCATGTTGAATGCGAATTGATTGGTCTTACTGAAGGTCCCACAACAACAATAACAATTGATATTTTTATATAAAAATAGTTTACTAATAGATTTTCTTTTATTTTATTTTTAGATCTGTTTGAAAATCTTGATATTAAAAAATAATCGAATACACATCGAACCTAATTGAAAAGGTAAACATTGCATTTAAATTTTGTTTAATTATTTTCTTTTATATGATGACAAATTATCTTTCGCCCCTAACTGAACGTTTTTTGGAAACTTCTCATGTTGAATGCGAATTGATTGGTCTTACTGAAGCAACCGAAAAATATAATAAATATCTCTTATAACAAAAAATAATTTACTAATAGGTTTTTATTTTATTTTTTAGAACTGCTGTAAAATCTTGGACAACCAGCAGCAGCAAAATCTTGGACGACCCGAGTCTTACTCGGCCAACGTCTGTCACATCAGCCCATTGTGTAAAAGCAATAGGGCTACTACAACAACAACCGGTGTTTGTTGCTGGAACTTTGCAACATGAACAATCATGTAAAAAAGGTATGTTGAGCTTTAAAATCTTTTTAAAAAATAGTCCTTTTTTATTTTATTGTGATGACAAATTATCTTTCGCCCCTAACTGAAAGTTATGGAAACTTCTCATGTTGAATGCGAATTGATTGGTCTTACTGACATTTTTATTTAATGGAAATAGTATAGAATTTGAAATCTCCAATGAAAAATGTAAATAACATTTGTTTTCTTTTTCTTTTTTAGATGATATGGACCTCATTTCAATACAGAAGTTGGCTTTAACAAGAAAGGTGTGTAGAGAATTCAATATCATTTCCAAATTTATAATAAAAAAATATTTATTGTGATGACAAATTTTTCTTTCGCCCCTAACTGAACGTTATGGAAACTTCTCATGTTGAATGCGAATTTGATTGGTCTTACTGATAATTCTTGTGCTAGAGAACATAAATTTTAATTTACTCAATAGTATTGGTATTAATATGAAATCTTTCTTTTTTCAATTTCAGATTAAAAATTAAAACCTATTTCCATTATGAGCAGAAGGTAAGCATCAATCATTACCGTATATCTTTTTTTTTTTTTTTTTGCTACTTGTCTTTAAATGATGACAAATTATCTTTCGCCCCTAACTGAAAGTTTTTGGAAACTTCTCATGTTGAATGCGAATTTGATTGGTCTTACTGAGCTTTCTATATTGCATAAAAACATTTTGTATATGACTTTTTGGTAACACTTAACTAATCCTTTGTTTTAATTCTTTGTAGGAATGCGCCGCAAAAGTTGTGTTCCCCCGAAAAATATTATGATGGCAGGCCAATAATAACTTCTTGAATGGTAAGTCTCGTTTTTTACATTATTTTAATTAGCAATAAAAATTTTATTTTTACCATGATGACAAATTATCTTTCGCCCCTAACTGAAAGTTTTTGGAAACTTCTCATGTTGAATGCGAATTTGATTGGTCTTACTGAAGCAGCAACTAACTAAAACAATAAATATTTTTCTTATAAATTCAGGACCTATTATTAAAAATAATTTTTCTCTTAATTGCAGGTGTTATATCAATGATTTTTGTATATCTCCAAATGTTGGGAAACATGTGGATCTAAAATATAGGTAAGCATTATTCCTAAATTATACTCAATCCTTTTATAAACGTTTAGGAATTTTTATTGAAATTCATTCCGTATGGAAAAGAATTCTATTTTCCAAAATCTTTTCTGATAGGAGAAATTTACTTGTTTGAATGATGACAAATTTATCTTTCGCCCCTAACTGAAAGTTTTGGAAACTTCTCATGTTGAATGCGAATTTGATTGGTCTTACTGATGTCGCCATAAAAACAAATTAAATAAGTTAAATTTCTTTATTGTACAAAAATCTAATATATTTTCCTTCTTTTTTCGATTTGTCCCAATAAGGTTTTTGGATATGACTCAAATTTGGAAACGTCATTTACATTAGAACTTTTTTGCCGGGTTACTACCTCCTCTATGAGTATTTATTTGACATATATGTAAAGGAATGGACAATTTAGATCTGCTGGATTTAATAAATCCCGTACATTGTAAACGTACTATAAATTTCAAAAAAGGTAAGTCATACCGATTAAATACGAATTGTTAAGTAGTTTTACTATAGAGTGGGTTATACCATTTCTTGGTTGCATTCTAAACTTGAAATTTTATTTGAGCTTTGATTTCTTAAACCAAATAACACCAGAGATTATTTTCCTTCACAAGTCAATTGCAATATTTAATTTTCGAAACTCTAAACAAGGATCTTTGACTTCTTGAATTAGTACAACAACCTTACAACCGAATATTTAAATTGTGGGAAAAATCTATGGGGTAACTCAAGGCATTTTATGTTCCTTCTCGAAGACCATGTAATTTTGAACCGTTGAAATTGTCGATCGCAAGAACTAATTATGAACTAAACAACCCAATGAGGTCCTTATGTGTAATATATAATAGTATAAATAATGTTTAGAGATATTTAAGAGAATAGTGTTTAAGAGTATATAGATATATAGAGATTTTTAGACATTTCAATTGTCTACCGCTTTTTATATATCTTCTAAAAATAAGGATGGAGACGAATTTCATAGGAGAGCTTTGACAAATTTTAATTATATTGATACCAATTATGAGCATGTTTGGTATTGGGAAAAATGTATAAATCTGTCCACGCTTTAGCATGGACCCAGAATTCTTCAATATAGGCCTATAATTTGACATTGTCTCAATATAAAAAGTTCGCTTCCCATTTTCGGTATTTTGACTTAGCTGGCTTGTTACAGAACGGTTGTTCCATAAGCCGAGCTTAAAGATTTCCAATTGCGTCAGTTTTGTGCGCATATCCTCCAATTTTGAAGACCATTCCAAGATGTTATTTTCTACTTGTTTTTACCCTTCACCACTCTTGTGGTACAGGTATTATGTCCTTGTGCATATGTTTGTAACAGGCAAAAGGCAAAGAGATAGACAAATGGTTCCTTTGGAGAATATGCATAGAATCACTTTCTGAGTCGATTTATGCAAGTCCGTCCGCCCTTCTGTCTGTCTGTATTCTTGTGAACAAAATACAGGTCGCATTTAGGATCCGATTTGTATGATGTTTGGCACACCTCACCTTCGAAGAAGACGAACCCTATTGAAATTTCATATTTTCGTCCTATTTAATAGAAATGGGCACCAAAGTCTCTTTATATCTTTCGATTTGCATGAAATTTAGCGTAGCGTACTGAATTGAGTCTAGAATGATGTGCGTTAAGTTTCGTGGAAATCGGTTCAGATTTAGATATAGCTCCAATATAAATTTTCGTCTGATTTTATCAAAATGGTGCACGAAACTCCCAATATTTGTCCAATTGAAACAAAATTCTGCACAGCGTGCTGAATTGAATTAGGTCCAATTTGATGTCTGTGAAGTTTGGTGAAAATCGGTTCAGATTTAGATATAGCTCCCAGATTTAGATATATTTTCGTCCGATTTTATCTAAGTGGAACATCAAACTCCCAACATTGGTCTGATTGAGACAAAATTTAACCCGATTCCATCTACAGGGTATTGTGCATATGATCCATTAGGTTCATATTCTCACCCCCTGTTTTTTAATTTAATTAGATTTATCTAAAAACACTTCTTTGCAGACAATTATAGCCCCCGATGTAAATGTCCTCATGTTTTTAAGCATAAGTACACATTTCGAATTTTTAGAGGATAAAAGCTCTTGACAGAGAAGAGTCGAATACCGGACCTTCAACAATCAAGGCATTTTTGTGGTTCTTAGGGCATTTTTCAATCGAAATGTCATTGGTATTTGGTATTTTATTTTCTCAGAGTATATCAAACATCCGGATAAACAATTTACATAACAATACCTGGATTAATCAATCGAAAGTCGCCTTAGGTATCCCAATTGTATTATCACATCTTGCGAACAGTTGCAGGCATGACACAATAAATAGGTAGTCCATTTAGCTCAGCTGATGACATGATTAACTTTTAAAGTGCGTAATTTCTACTTGAATTCGATGTGCAATGTTGCCAACCATGTGAAATATTATAAGGAAAAATCTAACAGATGTCGAGACAAAAACAAAGGTTTTTTGTTTTGATACATCACCTTATTATTGCGTAATGAAGGTATTCTTAGAAGTTGACACACCTGTAGATTTTTCAAACTTTTTCTCCAT